AACGGTATAGTTAATAAAGTATTGTTCATGTATGCTCATTTTGTTTAGTTACATATTAACGTCTAATTAAACTTCACTTTCTATTTTGTTGGTATATTTTGATGAACCACTGTGAAATGAGTAGTAAAATAAATTCTATAGAACTATCTTTTTTTTGTAATATATATCACTTAAAGGAAATTTTGTCATCAGTAACTTAGTAGAAGAACATAACAAGTGATTAGATGAACGAGAACTTCAGTTTTCTTTGAGAGAAGACCACTAATTCATTTCCTAATTTCAAAAAACATCTTCTGATTTTTCAGCCCTATTAGTTGTCCAACGTCTCATGATAGAAACAGAATAAATTGATTCACTTTGATTTTTCTCTGCTTCATTTAGTTATTCCGATAACTTTTCTCTATTTTAAAAGACACATTGAATAAGTTAGTTCAGTTTAAGTTTCTCTTTCTTGATATTTGTCGCGCATTTTATGAGAGAAATAGAATAGGTTTGTTTAGTTTATTTTTATCTTTCTTGATTTAGTTACCTTGGTAGTTGTCATGCATCTTATGAAAGAAGTCGAATAGCTTATTTTACTTTTCTTTTTATTGTTTTGATTCTGTTCTGCTGATGGTTGATGAGGATATTATAAGAGAAAACAAAGGAAGATAATTTACTGTGTACTGTTCTTTTCATGATCTTGCTTTTGCTATAGTTTTCTGGCATTGAATAAGGCGACAGTGCTATCAAGCTTTCAACCATTGTGAATCTTTAAGAAAGGATCCACGTGGCTAACACTTAGAACAACAGGGATCGGTTGCCGAAAAATGTTATTTTTTACAATTTTTGGACAAAGTCTTCGAATATTTCGACGACCTGATAAGAAGAATGAATTTTTCCTTATTTGGAATCTTTCATATGCATTACAACAATCAATTGAATGTTAGTATCTTGATAGTAATTCAATTCTTTTCTTATACATTTCTTTCTCAGCATGGATTTGATTATTGAAATGATGTATTTCTTTATGAGTCTCACTGATGACTTATTTTTTGTTAGTGTGTCATTTTCAGAAATTGAAAATTATCTATATGCAAAATTCTGAACCGACAATGGTTTGTTTTTTTTTCTCATCTTTCTTATCTATGTTTTTGATCGAATGCAAACTATTGTCTTCATTCTACTTTCAAAACTTGAGTACTAATATGTCATTATAGCTAAGCATTAATGTTTCATCTTTGTTTCTATCAACCTATTATTTTTGATTTGAAAAAGAAAGAATAAAGAAAGGATTTAATTCTTCATGGAAAAGGTAACACAAGTTAATAGACGATGACGCAAGCGAGAAAAAGTGGAATTCTAAGAATTTCAGGAGTCAGCTCTTTCTCCCTTGCAATGAGGTCTTCTAATATTTTACTCAATTTTATACTTTGATTTAGGTTTCTTGTGACGAAATATTTAAAAATGATGCATAGTGATCAACATTATCGTGCATTTTTCGGGACATTACTTCTACTTTAGAATGAATATATTTTTTATGACAAGATGCATATTTTGCCACTCTACAAAACTATATAAAATTCATCTTAGGCTCTTGAAAAGTAATTACATAAGAGAAGCAAGAATGGTAAAAAACAGCATGTAAATTAGACCAAAGAATGATCGAACTCAACTTTTATAATGATTTTTTTCGGTTTCGAGAGTACATAATAACATATGGGATTTCGTAGAGCAGCATCCGTTCCATTGATTGATATAATTTGATAATTCTAGAAACATGTTTGATGGGTAAAATATAATCTGAATCCACATATGAATTTTTTAAATGAATCATCCTATCTCGACTGATGTATTGAAATTTAGATGAGTCTTTTGAATAAATACAAACATGATAGAAACTTATGTATATATAGATTTGTCTATCTCAAATTAATTATTTTCTTTTTAAGAAGAATACAAATGTCGTCTAAAAAACATATTATGTTATCCTATCAATGGGATAATCAAAAACTTGTAGCAGAGGTTTATCGTCGTCTTAATGAAAAAAAGATTCCGCTATGGATGGATATACAAGGTGGAATGAAAGGTCATTTAAGTGAAAGGTAAACTTTTGTCTTGCTAACATTATCATAATAATCTTTTTTTTTAAGTATGGCAGCAGGAGTAGAAAATGCAGTAGCTATATGTTGTTTTTTAACACCAAAATATCAAGATAGTGTTGCATGTAAAGATGAATTAACTTATGCAAAAGAACAAGGTGTATGTATTATTCCAATACGTTTAATACCAAGTTGGAAACCAACAGGTTGGTTAGGTTTTACTATAACAGGACATAAATGGATTGATTTTCGTGATATTGATACAAATATGGATTTAAGAATTCAACAGTTAATTAATGAAATTCGACTGTTAGTTGGAAATAAACTCGATTGTTTTAAAGATATGGAACCATTGGATTTTATGCATAATGAAGACGAAAAAGAAGATAATGAAGAACATTCTTCTACCATAAGTGAGTATGAAAAATAATATATTATAAAATATTTTTATTTCAGTTATTTAGGAGTATAAGGGATATTTTTGCAGCTGCCTCAACAAATTCTGATTATTTATGACTTAACATTTATAAATAGAATGAGTAATCATATATGTATGTGCTGTATTACTTATTTTTGCCTATAGGAATAAATATATTATTTTAGTATAGTTTGTGAGAGGTTAGAAAGTGTCTATGATATTTCAAAGTAGTATTTGTTAACTTTTCTTTTTATGAATATGAACGATGAACAATGCTTTATCAGTGATAAAAGAATTAGTCCATCTGATCAAAATATAGATGAAATATTCAAACTTTTCTTGCTCAGTGAATTATTGGACACTACATCGATTATCATCCTGAGTTTTATAGCCTATAACCGAAGAGTCTAGTTTTTCAAGGTCAACCGTTATGTTATTGTCAGTTAGTCATCTGTTGTCCGCTAAGAGTTAAAAGCTATGATCTTTTACTTGAAAATAATTGTTGTCGAACAGTAAACGTCACAGAAGAGTAATTGTCTGGAAGCAATTCTTGCATTATCTTACGATCAAGATACTAATGAATATTTTATTTTGAAAGAAAATCATAAATTTCGTATTTTAAGAAGAAAATAATTCTTAAAGCTAAAAATGAATTTTGTACGGGCAATCACGAATGAGAAATTTTCCATTATCTAGTAACTGGTAACGTAACAGTACTTGACCTTTCTCTAGTTCAATTTGATTTCATTCTATTTCTCGTAGAAATGATTTCTTAAGGATACAAAGATAATGTTAATGAAAAAATTAAGAATGATTACCGAGGATACCATCAACATATCTACTTTAACGTTCATTTATTTCAAGTTAAGGTGACATTTTAACTTTACCTCTAAAACAAAATTCATGCAGAGAAATATTTTCTATTCGAATGCGTCTCGAATGGAAAAGATAATCTTTTTTGATTTATAGAAATATAGAGATATACATAGTGCATTCGACAAGACAATATCACATTCTCCAATGAGTCATATTCACAAACTATAAATATAGTATCTGTTAGTTGTCAGATAGTTGGAAGACTCACTATATCGAATGTGTGAATAATATAGACAGAACGAAAAAGAAAAGAAAATAGTTCCAATCAGTAAAATACAGATCGCTTTCTGTGAAACCCAGACTCCTCTATTTAAAACAAAAATTAACAAATTCTCTATGAACACAGTAATAACGACATAATCATTTTTGAACTAGATGTTTCTCTGTTTTTTTATTATTCATATTATAGTTGAAGAACAAGAGTTTGATTCAACTTCATATTATCGTTTAACAACACAATGGCAAGGCAATAATAAATCTCTTGATGTTGTCAATGATGGTAAAAATAATAATCAACTTATACTTGCGACAACTGGTAATTATAGTGGACAATATTGGAAAATTACTCCAACTGATAATGGATTTTATCGTTTAACTACACAATGGCAAGGTGACAAGAAATCTCTTGATGTTGTTAATGATGGTAAAAATAATAATCAACTTATACTTGCTACAACCGGTAATTATAGTGGACAATCTTGGAAGATTACT